TCTGTTAAGTAAACCAACGTAACGAAACCTCTGTAAGTCTTATAGTTTAAGACCTAGCGTTACACTTTAAGCACCACTTCTATGAGGTACCGGCTTATACACAAAGCAACATGGCTAGAAACGATTCAGCATCTAACGTGGGGTCGAAGGGCAAGGCAGCTGTCGAGCCTGTCCTATTACCTACTACTACGCCTGCGCCTAGGGGACCACACCCCTTAGACAAACTTAAGATTGCATTCCTAGACACCTTCAATGGGGACCGTAAGAAGCTTAAGAGCTTCCTCATCTAGACGGAACTCTAGATGGCCTTTAACGCTAAGCACTTCGCCTTTGAAGTACAGTAAGTCCTATGGGCAGTGGCCCTCCTAAGGGGCTCAGCCTCCGACTAGATTGCTAATTACCTGACAGACTACATAAGCTACTGAGCAGCTGACGGAAGAGTTACTACGACGGCTAACTAAGGCACTAAGGATATCTTCATCACTTAGGCTAGCTTCGTTAAGCAACTCAAGGCGAACTTCGGGGACGTTAACGAAAGAAGAAACGTAGTGCGAGCCCTCGAGGCCCTTAAGTAGAGGGGGTCGGCAGTTACATATACTGCTGAGTTCTAGCAGCATGCCCCCCTTACTAGTTAGGGAGACGAGGCTATATGCGACCGATACTATAAGGGGCTGAAGGATTATGTAAAGGACGAAATCTCCTGGTCGGACAAACTAGATGACCTTAAAGAATTAATTGAGATAGCCTAGAAGATCGACAATCGTTACTACGAACGCTAACTCGAAAGGAAGGGAGGAACAACTAGCTACCAATGGACCTAGAAGCGGAGAACTTAGAAGAGTCATTAGCCTTAGCCTATAGAGCTCGACGCTACGTTCAAGCCTAGTAGGAGACCCCGTAACCTAAACAAAGAGCGACAGCTTAAGGAACGGTTGTGTTTTAATTGCAACAAGCTGGGCTACATGGCCTGAGACTACAAGCAACCTAAGAAAGGGAACGGAGGACATAAGAAATTTAGGAGACAACTTAACGCCACTTAGAAGGGGCAGTTAAACGCTACGTTTGTGAACAAACCCAACTAGGGGATTACGGGCGATAGCACCCTAGAAGAAGAGAGCTCGGGCGACGAAGATCTTAACAACTTCGACGCATTACTTAAGAAGGAGAACGAACTCCTAAACAGGGGATTAACGGAATCCTAGAAACTCCGGCTAAAGGAGTTTGAAGAAGACGTGAAGGAGATCGCATTTAAGGAGAATCTACTAGGAGTGGTCGACGTCTACAGACAGACTATGCTTCGACAAGGAACTCTAAGAGCGATTCCCGTACTACTACCCCTAACGGGATGGATGGGCACTTGACAAGACTGGGAAGTCGCAGTTCGCGCCATGAGGTGCCGCCCTAGGTACCTACGAGGAAGGGAGCCCCGAGGAGCGAACCACACCTCTGAGGAAGCTACTATGTGGTTGAAATACAAGCTTGCGGAATATGACGCGCAAGACGAACAGCAGGAAGACACTTAGGGACCTGAACCCTAGGAACTGCGAGTAGACTAAGCTGCTATGGACTACGAACCCATCGATGGAGACGTAGAAAGGTTACGTGTAACCATAGAGAAATCCGAGCTCGCGGGCAAGACAAAGGAGGAACAGGAATTGACAAAGTTGGATGCATTAAGGATTGATCACCCCTAGCACCTATATATATTCTAGGAACACTGCAAGTACGATGACTGCGAGAGTCACTTACGGGAAAAGACCTAGTATCGACTATTTCCGAAAATCGCACCTTAGGTCTACTTTACAGATATAGACTAAATTCATGCCCTTAGACGAAGTTAGTCTAAAGGAGAACTACCGTTGAAGAAACAACAATAGGTATACGAGAAATACCTGCACCTACTAGATGAAGCAGAAGGATGGGAAGGACAATCTTCCTAAGGACCGCCTATAGAGGATGATGAACATCACTATTACTCCTCGGACGAGTCAAAAAACTAGGAGTCCTCGACGGTAGGCCACCGGCGAGTGACAAGGAGAGGCCTAGTACAAAGTAGCTGTGCGCTACGGAAGGCAGCATGCAACTATATGTGGTTGCTAAGATACAACAGCGACACCTCCGAGCCATGATTGACTTAGGAGCAACGGGCAACTTTATGACAAAGAAAGTAGCAGACACTTAAGGTTTTAAGACGCAATTGAAAACCGATCCTTACCCGTTAATGGTAGTAGATAGAGAGCCCATCTTAACTAACAAAGGGATGGTGACCTACAAGACGGCCCTATTAGAAATGGTTATGCTACGTAGACACAAGGAAACGATCTAATTTAATATCGTACACATAGACAACTATGTATGTATCCTTAGTGTGCTGTGGCTTAGGAAACACAACCCCTAGATCGACTGGTAGAACGAGAAAATTGTAATGAGCTAGTGCGCGTGTGAACAACGAACGGACACGCCACAACGGGAGAAACCCTCCTAGGGCCGACGCGAGGTGTGTGCGACCTCCATAGAGCCTAGTGACCTAGCCTAGGCACCCTTACTGACGAGTATACCGGTAGAGTATAAGGAATACGAGCAGCTATTCTAGGAAGGCCCTAAGAACGAGGCGCTTCCTAAGCACTAACTATAGGATTATGTGATACCTTTAGAAGAAGGAAAGAGTCCACCGTTCGGACTAATATACTAGATGTTAGCAGACGAGCTAAAACTGCTGAAGGAATATATCGACGATAATCTTAAGAAGGGATTTATTAGACCCTCTAAATCTCCTGCGGGAAGCCCGATGTTATAGGTTCCTAAGAAGGATGGGAGCAAACGACTATGCGTAGACTATCGAGCATTAAACAATATAACGATAAAGGATCGATACGCCTTACCGTTAATTAATGAGTTACACGATAGATTCTAAGGAGCTAAGATCTTCACTAAGCTAGATCTACGCAGCGCGTACAACCTGATCTAGATAGCTGACAGCAAGGAGTGGAAAACAGCATTCCGCACCCGCTATGGCCTATTCGAATATCAAGTCATGCCCTTTAGGCTGACCAACGCCCCTGCATCCATGCAACGCTTGATGAATGATGCCTTGTATGAATATCTAGACATATTCACCATCGTTTACTTAGACGATATACTAGTATACTTAGCAAACAGGGACGAACATGCTTGGCACGTTAAGCTTGTCCTCTAGAAGCTGAAGGAATACAACCTACTGTTGAAGCTAGAGAAATGTGAGTTCTATAAGAACTAAGTCGAATTCTTGGGCTACATTATCGGAACGCACGGCATTAAGATGGACTAAGCAAAGGTCACGGCAGTGTTGGAATGGCCAACACCAACCACAGTCAAGGAAGTACAAGCCTTTTTAGGCTTTGCTAACTTCTACCGTCGATTCATTATAGGATATTCTAAGGTAGCTCAACTACTCACGGAGCTCACTAGGAAAGATCTCGCGTTCGAATGGACAGAAAAAGCAGAGGCTGCCTTCTAGGAACTTAAGACAAAGTTTACGGAGGCACCCATCCTTGCTACATTTGACCCTGCAAAGAAGATCATCCTCGAGACGGACTCTTCTAACTTCGCGATTGGAGCATGTCTAAACCAACTAGACGAGAACGGTAAGTTCAAACCAATTGCGTACTACTCTAGGAAACTGTTACCCGCGGAGCTTAACTATGACATCCACGACAAGGAGCTACTAGCTATTGTCGTTGCCTTTGAGTAGTGGCGCGTATATCTTAAGGGATCTACCCACACTGTGCAAGTGTGGACAGATCACAAGAACCTCATATACTTCACTACGACTAAGGTTTTGAACCGTAGACAAGTCTGCTAGGCAGAAACCCTCGCAGCCTACAACTTCACGATAACCTACCGCAAGGGCTCTGAGAATGCGAGAGCAGATGCTCTTAGCAGAAGGACCGACTACATCGGCCCGAAGGAAGAAAGACCTAGAGCAATATTAAAGAAGACAGACGTAGGAATGCAATACAACGAACTGCTAGCCACGATCGCCATCGTAGAAGACACGGAACTTGAGCAGAGACTCAAGAACGCTTACGCAACAGACGAAATAGCGAAGCGAACCTTAAACAAGGTCGAAGGAAACTTCTCCATCGACGAACAAGGGTTGATTCGATTCAAAGGGTTAGTGTATGTCCTAAGTTAAATGAGACGCCCGCTAGTGTAAGAACAACACTCGTTGCTAGCACACGGCTATTAGGGAGTAACACGAACCTTTGAACGAATCGCACAACACTACTACTTCCTAGGTTTAAGGAAGTAGGTAGAAACAATTGTGTTAGGATGCGACATTTGCTAGAAGTCAAAAGCAAATAGACACGCACCATATGGACTTTTGAAGTCACCACTAATACTAGGACGAGCATAGTCCTCGATAGCAATTGACTTCATTGTTAAGTTGCCATTATTGAAAGAACTAATGACAGGGTTTGTTGCAGACTCTATTATGGTCTCTAACTGCCGACTTACGAAGGAAGCACACTTTACGCCGTTTAAAGAAGCGTTAGACGTGAAGGCGTTAGCATATATCTTTCTAAAAGTCATCGTCGTAGCGCATAGACTACTAGACGAGATAATTTCGGATCGAGACAAGCTCTTTACATCCAAATTCTGGCAGACAGTCATGGCGCAGCTCGGAACAAACCATAAGCTGTCCACAGCCTTTCATCCGCAGACGGATAGACAGACAGAACGAACTAACTAAACGTTAGAAGCATATTTGTAAAGCTACGTTAACACTGAATAGGACAACTGGGTTCAGTACCTACATTTAGCAGAATTCGCATATAACTCGGCACCATTAGAGGTGACAAAGGTCTTACCATTCTTTGCTAACAACGGATGGCAACTAGAGGCGTACAAGACGCCGAGACCGGATAAATTTCGTTCTAAGGAAGGAACGTTAGAAGTATCGAAGATACTCTCCTTCTAGAAACAACTTGCGACGGACATCTAGTTCTTAAATGAACGATCCGCTGCATATGCAAACAGAAAGCGTAGTATGGAACCTGCCTTTAAGGAGGGGGATAAAGTATACCTACTCTAAAAACACATCAAAACGAAACGACTAAGTACGAAGTTGGACTTCAAGAAATTAGGACCATTTAAGATATTAGAGGAAGTTAGCTTAGTTAATTACAAGCTGCAGCTACCTAAGAACTCCAAACTCTATCTAGTGTTTTATGTCTCATTATTAGAACTAGCAAGAGGGGATGCCCCGATTGCGACAGATACCGAACTTCAACCCGAAAATGAGATCATCGAATATGAGGTCGAGGCAATCCTAGACAAAAGGTTAGTAGGACGCTGAGAAGAGTTTTTGATAAAGTGGAAAGGTTACGAACCTACGGACAACTTATGGGAGTTGAGGGGAAACCTCAGCTGCCTAGAGTTGCTGGCGGAGTTCTACCGTCGACACCCTAACGATCGAAGAACCTAGGGGAAAGGGCCGACAGGTAGTCGTGCTTAGGGACAGCGCTCCTAGGGTTAGTTACGGAAGGACTGGCGAGGTAACCGTGGGCTTCGGCTTCTTGCCGCTTACGTTCTTCTACCTCCTCTAGTTCGTCAAGGGTCTTTAGACCGCGGCAAAGCATCTTAGCACCTCGGGTCTTAAGGAGATCCTGCTGCTGCTCGAGGCAGTTGAGACGGGCTATGGCAGTTGCCACGGCCTCGCGAGTCATGCGAGTTTCGAGTCGAAGACGATCCTCTTCTTTCTATAGCGACTGCCAGTCACTAGTAGAGGGACTAGAGACATCATAGTTGCGGGAATTCGAACGAACACATTCATTACATCGTTTTGAGGATGCGGAAGCGAGGCAGCGGAGACCTCGTTTCTCGCAGCGGGAACAGGAAGGCATTTTAACCCCTTCGCGGGTTATGCAGTTAGCGAGCAGTTTACGTTCTTTGATTTTTGAGTGTTTAGAGGAAGACATGGTCGTGGCCTTGCCCACCCTACGAATATGGGGGACCCACCACGCTTAAGTAGGCTGGTGGATTCTTAGTTAGCAATGGCCTACGGGACTAGGCCTCGAGGGAGGGGACCTAGTGTTACGGCTGAAACATGCAACCTATATGCCGCAAGATAGAATAATAAGGTAAAATAGCTTGCGGCTAATTGGCAGTAGGAAATGGACGTAGAGATTGTAGGTAGCTTAGTTAATGAGGGCACCTTTGGGAAAAGGTACCTTTCTTAGAAGGTACCCGGCAAAAGAAAGGTGCCTATTAGGAAAGGCACCTGTGTAGAGCAAGGTGCCTCCTTAGAAGGGCACCTATGGGAATCGGTACCTGCAATAAGTGTGGCACCTCTTACAGGACGTACACGTGATTGGATTAGTAGGAATAGTGAGAATAGTCAGAGAGTCTGCTATTCCAACTATTCCCTTTAGC